CCCTCTCCCGCTGGTTTGCATGCGTTTACGCGTGGGGGCTGAATGAACAACACGCTCAAACAACTGGCGCAGCGTTCCAGGACCGTCAGACATTTGCATGCTCCGCTTTGTTTACGGAGGGAAATGACATGCAAACCCGGCCGGGAAGCAGGAAGCAGAGCCTCACCGGACCCGACCGAACCGGACCGGACCGGACCAGGAAGCTGAGCCTCACCGGACCCGACTGGACCGGACCGGGTAGGGTCCGGGTTACGTCAGGAGGAGCCCAAACACAGCCTCTCTCCGTTCAGATTCTGCCCCCCTAAAGAGGCTCTGAGCTGCAGCTCCAGAGTTTGAACCTTTTCAGAGGAATGTTCTCTGTTCAGCCTCTGAAAACAGGCCCCTAACTCAAGGGCTGAGCCAGCGCTGTGTCCAATCAGCAGAGCAGCAGCTTCAAGTGGATCAGAAGGATGAAGATGAGTTAAAAAAAAGTCTTCATCCACCTTTAATTTCTTCATATTTTCCCTCAAAGCAGCCAGGCGTCTTTAGAGGGTTTTTAGTGACATTTATCCCGGATTTATGAGGAGTTTTGCTCAAAAACTTTCCACTTTTTCCTCTTATTTTGAGTCCAGTTTTCATAATCGTTTAGCCACTCGAGTCAGAAAAAAGGCCCCTAACTCAAGGGATGAGCCAGTGTTGTCACCAATCAGCAGAGCAGCAGTTTAACTGGACACTGAACAAAATGAGAAGGATAAAGATGAGTTTAAAAAGACTTCAGCCACCTTTAATTACTTCATATTTGCCCTCAAAGCAGCCAGACGTCCTTTAAAGGGTTTTTAGTGACATTTATCCAGGATTTATGAGGTTTTTCACAGTTTTTGTTTGGACATTTTTCTACTTTTTCAATTATTTTTAGTCTAGTTTTAATCTTTTTTAAGCCACTTAAGGCAGAAAAAAGGCCCCTAACTCAAGGGCTGAGCCACTCTGTGTCCAACCAGCAGCTTAAAGTGGATCTTCAGGCTCTATGTCACAGAGACTCATCTGCTGTTCAGTTTCTGGAGCTGATGAGAAAACATTTCTGAGGATCCAGAGAGCTGCTGGTGGAAACTGGGCAGATCTCACCTGCAGAGTCCTGAAAACACCTGAGCAAACTGGAGGACAGAAGAAGAAGAGCTGGGCCTGCAAACTCTGTAATCCAGCAGATGAAGAGTTAACTGTGTATTTTAAGTTGCTTCACATTGTTATTTTCATGTTAAAAAAACAAAACAACTATAACTTTTTAGGGATTGTTCCCAGTTTGAATTAGGGTCAGGTTTCCCATCCCAAAGACACAACAGGTCAAACCATTGGGAAAGTGAAGCATTCACGGATAATAAAGAAGAGAAAAAACACTAAATAAATCCCCTCTGCTGGAACAGAGCTGTTCTGGTCCGGGTTCCGGATCCACAGGGCTCAGAAAAGGTCTGAAACACCTCACCTCACCTCACCTCACCGGCCTCCGTGGATGTGCTGGAGCTCCGCTCCGTGGCCCCGGGGCTGCGCGCGGGGTGCTGCCGGCCTCGGGCCTCCGCCGCCGGTCACTGTTCCGCCGGGGAGTCGGTGTCTGGGCTGGAGCCGCTCTGAGCGTTGGGGCGGAATGAGACGCGGGGCCGCGCGCAGCAGGTGATGCTGATTAACCCCCCCCCCCCCCGGGCCAATCCCAGGGGGGGGGGGGTGGGGGGCGTGGGGGGGGGAGGGGGGGGGTTGGACCAGACGGAGACGGGATATCTGAATCCACTCGGTTTATTTCAGGAAAAACGCGTTTTAATCACCAGTTTCACAGAAATCCCGATGCTCCAGTTCAGGTGGAAATCTTTATTGCTGGCGTCTGTAGGCGTCAGGTAAAAACGTCACGTGACTGGTAACGTGATGACGTCAGGAGGACACACCGGAGCATGAAAAAGAGAAAAAGAGAAGCAGAGGCAGAAACGGGGCTGAAGCAATCCAGCTCCACAACTCAGAAACGCTGTTTAATCTCACTAAAAAGTCTCAGAAACGCTGTTTAATCTCACTAAAAAGTCTCAGAAACGCTGTTTAATCTCACTAAAAAGTCTCAGAAACGCTGTTTAATCTCACTAAAAAAGTCTAATTTCTGCTGTTGACTTATTAAAGACGTCCGAAACGTTTCATATAAAGAAACCCTCCAAAAAAGTGCTGCACCAAAACTAACT